GGGAGGTCCCACTTGATGGAGCGCTGCCCTGAGTGGCTAGACCTCACTCCATTGCATGCTCATTTTTAAATCCTTATCCATGTAAGAAGAGGTGGAGATGGAGACTCACGGAGAACTCTCTCTGGGCAGTTCCTAAGCAACTCCGAGGGCCTGGCCTATCAGCTTGTATTCATAAACAGCCTTTCCTTGTTATGCCTTTTCATTACTTTTTAAAGCTAAAATAATTTATGCATACCCATGGTGTTGAGGCACCATTACATTCATGATGCCTCCCTCCCACAGAGTTCATACTCTAGGGTGGCTTTGGGGAGGGGAGCTTCTTCAATGATATGCCATGTCTTGGGAGAAGAAGACATGTTTCTTTTTCCAGGTGGCTGGCCTCTTCTCTCCTGGAGGGGGAAACATCTTTGTCTGAAGGACTTGGCCATATACTTGACCACTCTGTAGTTTTTGCTGCTATAACCCAGTCTCCTAAGGGCATGTCTGGTAATCTGCAGACTAAAGACAGTTTCTCAAACTGACAATGAAAGACAATTCATGTCTTGCCAAAGGCCAGCAGTGTTCTAAAGTAAAAGCTCCAAGATGGCAGATGAGGGCACATTTCTGACATTACTGGGTGTCGGCAGCTTTGCTCTAGAATATCTTTAAACAATACACCCTCTAATGATTTCCGTCTTCATAACCTTTTCGTAATGTGAATAACGTGTCAAGTTCGGACATTTTTTTTTCTGTATTCTTCAAAGCGTTGCTAAGGCAATGCCTCATTCATCTGCATAAGAACTCTAAAAGTTAAAAAAAAAAAGAACTCTAAAAGTTAAATGTGCTTTCCTTACTTCTAAACTGTGAAAGAAAAAGCCACATACTTTCTTCTTCTGGTTATAAACATAATGTGGGAACTATAAGAACGAGGAATCTGCTGTCCTCTCAAACTAGATAAAACAAGAAAGATGTCAACGTTCCCCTATTTTACAAGGCTTTTAACACACAGGGGAGCCAACCTGTGTGTTTATTTTATACTCTTTTTTCTTTTTCAACATTGAACTCTACATCTCCGCCCCCCATCCCCTTTTTTGAGACAGGGTTTCTTTGTAGCTTTGGAGAGTGTCCTGGAACTCGCTCTGTAGACCAGACAGGCTGGCCTCGAACTCACAGAGATCCAACTGCCTTTGCCTCCCAAGTGCTGGGAGGTGTGCTGCCATGTCAGGTTTGGGATAAGAACCTGCCATGCCACTGCCGTGCGTGATCAGATGATCTCAAGGTTTTGGGCATGCTCTGCAAGCACTCCCACAACTGAACTACACCCCCAGCCCCCACTGTATGGTTTCTGTTTCTCTGGTTACTAGAAATGTTGACTGTGTGTGGGTTTTTTTTTTTTTTTTTTTGGTTTTTCGAGACAGGGTTTCTCTGTGTAGCTTTGGAGTCTATCCTGGCACTCGCTCTGGAGACCAGGCTGGCCTCGAACTCACAGAGATCCACCTGCCTCTGCCTACCGAGTGCTGGGATAAAAGGCGTGTGCCACCAACACCTGGCCTATGTGAATTATTTTAAGCACCTCTTTTGTGAAATCCTTTCCACTCTCTTTATTAAAGGACTGAAAACCAAAGCAAAGCCTGGGTTTCTTGGCATCTAATGCAATGGCACCCTAGGAGAGGCCTGTGCCTCTTTTGCATCCACCTTCAGGCCCATTCCCTAGCTTCAGCTTTCTGGGGATGAGACCTGGACATGTGAAATGGGCCTTCTGGGTGACATGTATGTACCCCAAAGACATTTGAGCACCTTGGCCTTAGGTCTTATCATTATCAGCAAAAGTTTGAAGAAGCCCAAACAAAGGATGAATATTTCTTTCTATTCACTGCTTCCAATAGTGTCACTTCCCTTTGAGCCCAGAAAGAGAGAAAGGGGGGGAGGGAGGGAGGAAGAGAGAGAGAGAGACAGAGAGAGAGAGACAGAGAGAGAGAGAGAGAGAGAGACAGAGAGAGAGACAGAGACAGAGAGACAGAGAGACAGAAAGAGAGAGGGTGTTTCACCAGCACCTTTCATCAGTGGGAGAGTGCCAGAGATGAATTAGTCAGATCTGAAGTCTCTTTGCAGGAGTGTGCTCAGATGAGTAACATTTTCTCATTCATAGGTAGCTGGTTCACATTCTTCACAGAGCAGGTTCATTCATTCAAAAATCAAGAGCCTTAGGAAACAACGGGTCTGGTGATCGCAAATTCCATTTTCAGTGCCAATGAAATGTAAGTGTTACCAACCTGAGCAATACCAGGGAAATAAGTGCCTGTGTTGGCACAGGAGGTGAGGGACACTGGTGACTCGGTGCCACTGCCTCCTCGCTAGCCCCAGTTTTTATGCCACCTTCCCTAGTACCTGGACGGCACAGACAAGAGGGTCTGCCAGTGGCAGCAAAGCCTCAATCTGGGAAAGTCACAGAGTGAGGCCTTAAGAGTCTGAGGAGGAGCCAGGCCCACTGCCTCCCTCTATGTGCCAGTCTCTTATCCTGTGAGGGAGGTGAGGAGACACTGTGGAGGCTGACTTTTCCGCTCAGTCTTCGGCTGGGACCTGGCACAGGTCCCTCACCGGCTGTACCTCCAGCCCACTGATGCTTCCACTATTGTCAGGAACACCCACCCAAGCACTCCAATGAGCAGAGAAAGAAAAGCTCCATCTCATCCAAGTACTCAGCAGCCAGAGGAGGAAAGCCATGCCTTCCGACAGAGGGAACCCCACGACCAGGAATAAAAGAGCAATTTACATATTTAGGACCCCAGAACGCAGTGTGACACTGCTGCCTTGAACTGAAGAGTTTAGTAAAAGGCAGAAGATTTATACAATCTGAAGAGAAACCAGAGTACATACTTCTGGTGTGCAGGTATATATTTAGGCAGAACACTGTGTAAATAATAAATAAATAAATCTAAGAAGAAAAAGAGTTTAGTGGGTCCCAGGAAAAAGTCAAAGAAACCCCAGAGAGGTGACTGTTAAATTCAGAGTGAATCTGTCAAGAAGGGCAAGTTTTGGTACAGCCAAGTGCCAAAACAGGAATGACAGGAGAAGAGAAGAAATATTGGTTATACAGGAGAATTATGTAGTTGAAGGAAAAAAAGTTTGGAAAGTTCCCCAAGAGTTAAAATGGGTTTTTAAGAGCAGAGTGGGGTTGTAGATACTGGAAAGATGGTTGATTGAGTTCCCAGCACCCACCTGGGTCTGATCACAGCCACCCGTAACTCCAGTTCCAGAGCACCAGGCACCCTCGTCTAGATTTCATGGGTGTTACGGAATATTTGTTTAACTATGTAATGGTGTGCTGCATTTGTTTAACTATGTAAAGATGTGTTGCTGTTTTACCTTGCCTACCTAAGGCAACTGATTGGTCTAATAAAAAGCTGGGTGCCCAATAGCAAGGGAGGAGGTATAGGTGGGACCTCAGGGAGAATGAGTAGGGAGAAATTTAGGCTCAGAAAAGAAAGAAAAGGAGACACTAGGGAGACACCAAGGGCCAGACAGACAGACAGACAGGGAGGAAGCAGGAAAGTAGGATATACAGAATGAAAGAAAGGTAAAAAGCCCCAAGGCAAAACATAGATGAGTAGAACAGTTAAGAGCTAGTGGGACAAGCCAAAGCTAAGGCCGAGCATTCATCATTATTAATAAGTCTCTGCATCTTTATTTGGGAGCTGTTGGTGGCCCAAAGAAAATTCCAACTATACCTTGTTATCCACACACACATATATATAAATAAAAGTTGAAGAACTCAGTCGTGTGCCACAAAGCAAAACTTAGCATATTAAAAATATAAAATGTCTTACAGACTATCATAAGCCACTACAGTGAGACTTAAGGGGTAAAGACAGAGCCCGTGAGATGGATTGGCAAGAAAAGGCACTTTACACCACTCCTGAAGACTTGAATTTGATCCCCAGCACACAAGGTAGAAGGAGAATTGGCTCCTGAAAGTTGTGTTCTGACCCACGCATCTCACTCATCGCTAAATGTAACAAAAATTGTAAACCAACCCCTCCCAAAATCTTAATAGCTTAAATAAAGAAACACAATTTTAATTATGTTTTTAGCTTTAGTGTTTTTTGTTTGTTTGTTTTTTCTGATTTTTTGAGACTGGGTTTCTCTGTAGCTTTCTTTGGAGGCTTTCTTGGAACTTGCTCAGTAGACGAGGCTGGCCTTGAACTCACAGATAGATCCACCTGTCTCTATTTCCTGAGTGCTGGGATTAAAGGTCTGCCTGTGTTACCACTGCCTGGCTTGCTTTAGTTTTTAAGACAGAATCTTGTGATGTAGCCTTGGCTAGCCTCAAATTCAATATCCTCCTGCCTTAGCCTCCTGAGTGTTAGGATTACATACCTGTGCCACCAAGCCAGCCCTCTAATTCTAAGTAACTCTTAGATATTCAGACATCCTTAAATCAAAGAGAAATTTAAAACTAAAATTAAAACAATGTAGAATACAATTACAGGGGCTGGGAATGGTGGTGTGTGCCTGTAATTCCTAAAATGGGAAGGCCAAGGCAGGAGGAGGGCAAACTGGAGGCCAGCCTTGGTCACTCAGTGAGATACTGTCTCAAAAGACAAATAAACAAGTCCATACTCAGCTTAAGACATACAGACAGTGTGCTGAAAATAAAATCCCTTCTGTACTAAGGGAAAAAATAATAAAAAAGGGCATAGTTTTATTGGTAGATTAGGGGACTCTGAGTTGGGAGTGGTACCTCTTTTCTAGGCCTCCTGGTTCTCTATGTTCATCTGTGTTTATCAGTTCACTGCTAAAAAGAACGCCTTACGCAGGCCGATCACTGTGAGTTCCAGTCCAGCCTGATCTACACAATAAGTTCCAGACCAGCCAGGGCTAATAGTGAGACCCTTAGTTTTAAACAAACAAAACTTCCTTATGAAGATGAAGTGAGTGCTCATGTACTTTCCTGAATTATGAAATGTTTGTGGACAACTGTGAATTTGCCAGTGACCCTGAGTGACCTTTGTGTTGCCTAGGTTCTCCAGGAGCAGATCCGTGCCAGGGACAACATCAGCTACGGAACTAATTCTGCCTTAAAGACACTGGAGATGCGCCAGCTTTCTGGCTTGGGGGATCTCCGGGGAAGAGTTGCAAGGTAGGTGTGCCAATTACTGCCCTCGGAATGCCCTATGGAGGTGTCTTCAGGAAGCAAGGACTGTTTGGGCTCGCAGTAGGAGGCTGCAGTCCATCAGGTGGGGAAGCCGTTGTCAGGGGCATGAGGTGACCGTTCTTGTGGAGTTCACAGTTAAGAAAGGATCAGAGGGAGATGGCTGCTGCTGGTAAGCTTGATTCTTTTCCTTTTTATTCAGTCTGGGACCCCACATTCTGGGCAGGTCTTCCCTCTTCACTTATATCCCTCTGTAAATACCTTATAGCCAAGCCCAGAGGTGTGTCTCCTAGGTGATTCTGAATTCAGTCAAGCTGGCCAGAAGATTACCCATCACAGCAGGGATTCAAATGTTGGAGACTTTACTCCTTAATTCTTACTTGACTCTGAGACTGTCAGAAAGTAAAATGCTCTCTGTAGTCTGTAGAAGTTTGTTGACCCAAGCTCATACCAGCATCCATGTGAGTGTGGAGGGCACTAACTACACACACACAGACACACAGACACACAGACACACAGACACACAGACACACAGACACACACACACACACACACACACACCACACGCAGACGCAGTTTCATTCCTGAAGCTGGCCAGGTCTTCATGGGAGGAAATGATCAGAGGGCGCCCTCTGCTGGCTGATGTCATTTGGTCAGGTAATAATAGTATGGTCATTGAATCAAATAATACAGTCAGGGCTTACTGTTTGTTCATCTGAAATGTTCATCTTTGTTATAATTAATTTTTTGTTTTATTTTCTGAAAGCATTGGCTTCCCATAGGCTGGAAATTTTAATATGTGTTTTTCTGTCAACGAGGAAAATGATTCTTCTCTTTACTTGGGTGTGTTCCACAAGCCCAGAGCCTTGGGATTACCTGGGGATTTTAAAAATGTATTTCATTTACATTTACACCTGTGTATTTATGTGTGTGCACACACAAGTGTGTGTACTGTGTCTCGTGTGTGGAGATCAGAGGATAATTGAAGAAGTCAATTTTCTCCACCACACTTGTCCCAGGGAACTCAAGTCATCAGACTTGGCAGCTCATGCTTTTATCGGCTGAACCATATCCCCGGCCCTTACCTGGGACCATATTAATAATGTCAAATATCACCACACCCCACAGCTACTGAACTGGAATCTGTTTCTAATGAGATGCCTGGATTCTGGGCACACTGGTATCTCAGAATTTTTGCTGGAGGCCTGACCTCTGGATTATGTTTAGCTGGCTGGGATGAAGTTGTATGGGTCTCTTCTGCCCTCTGCTGCTACCCAGAGCCAAGTACAAGTATGCAGCTAATAATGGGGACTTGGAGCAAAGAAACATTTCCAGCCTGCTTGGGTGACAATGAGCATAGATAAGCATGGGACTAGGTTAGGGATAGGGCATCTTTAGAGCAGAGACAGCCATGTTAGGGCGTGTTTTCGCAGAAACCTAGTGCTGTGTATGCTGGGTATGTGTGTTGGCAGCCGTTGCTTACGCATCAGTTAACGGCTGGAGGAGGGTTGTGAGGACTGGATGATGGATGCAGTGACCACTCCTCTGTGGCTCTTTGTTATTCTTCTGTTTGTTCACACGTGTGCGTGATTAGATTGGTTTATACAGTATAACCTGACCATCGGATAATGGTCCTCTCCATGCAAGAGGGGTTGAGCACATGGTAGCTGCTTAGCCTGAGAGAGCCACTGGTCTTCTGTCCATGTTGGAAACCCGAAGAAGCTGGAGTGTGATGTCAGTGGGGAAGGCAGCAGCAGCCCCGTAGCAGTAGCAAGAGGGTAGATAACCTTGCTAATAAGACACAAAGGCAATGAAGCAAAAACCAGCTTTCCCCCAGCCCTTTTTTTATTGGGGCTGCCTCAGGAAGGTGCTGCCATTTGGGCAGGGGTATCGTTTTACTTTTAATTGCCTGATCAGGTAAACCCCTCACAGGTGTGCCCAGTGGCTGGCTCCAGTCAAGATGATAACCAAAATTAACCACCACACCACTGTGGGTGCAGGTGGAGATTGAAGGCACATGTGTACAGCAGGGAGGGAGGGAGCATGCCACAAATGGGGACTGTCGGCACCTCAGCCAACAGTGAAAACTGGTGTCGTCTTACTGACATTGTAGCTAGTCAGAGAAGTCTCTTGTAATAGCTGCAGGAATCTCCCGTTGTGCATCAGTGGTTCAACTTCTCCAGCCGACTTGCTCCTTCCCGTTAACAAACACCTTGATTATAACCCTGCCCGGAGTGTTTGCTATAAGCACCCGATATTCTGGGCCTGTTTGGTGGTTATATCTGTCTTCCTCTTGGATGAGTTCATGTGAGATAAAAGCTCTTTGGCAAGATTTTGCCTTTCGTGCATCGATTACATAATTGTGTTGAAGAAGTCTAGCTTTTTAAAGCAATATTACTAAGTTACTAGGCTGACTTATAATTTCTTATTTGAAAGTGTAGTTTTTATGGATCTGTTCGTAATACAGTTAAGAGCAAACATGTCCTATTTCTCACTTGTAGATCTAGGCTAGGCAGGTTCTCCTTGAAGGTGAGGGGCATTCATCCCACTCAGCACAGTGGGATGTCGCCAGAGATTTGTCCATTTCTTCCTGAAGAAAATCCCACTTTTAGCTTCCCAGTTCCTACTGGAATGTTTGGTCCTGTGTTTGGCACATTGTCTGCATTTTCCCAAAACTCGGTGGCCATTTCTTTCTTCTCTGATAGGGTGTGGGGTGTGCCTGGTGGCAAAGTGATAGAGGGAAAATATCCATATGCCAAGGCATAAGTTCCCAACACCTGCCAAGTGGGAATTAGAGTGAGACAGCACTGGGACCTTCACAAGCGGAACAGTGGGCCTACAGTACTCACGCTCCCCACTTCTTGCTCTCACTCTTTCTCTCCCTCTCTTCTTCATTCCTTCCTTCCTCTATTTTCTTTATTTTATGGCATATAATTTTATGATATTTTAATATTTATATTTATTTTATGGTATGTAATTTATTTATATTTATAGAGATTTTATGATATAACTTACATATAATCAACAATGGGTGGAGCAGCTGGAGAGATGGCTTAGCACTTAAGAGTGTTCGTTGCTCTTCCAAAGGACCCAAGTCCCAGGATCCATGTCAGGTGGCTCACAACTCTCTATAACTCCAGCTCCAGGGACCTGACATCGTCTTCCAAACTCTGCAGTTTGGACACACACACACACACACACACACACACACACACACACACACACACACACACACGGGGGCATTTAAAAATAAAACTTGAAAGCATACAATAAGTTTGGTATATTCACTGTGCAGCCATCACAAATTAATTATAGAACATTTAAACAAATCAGAAAGAAACCCCATGGTATTGCAGTACCTCAATCCCTATCCATGGCAGCCAGAAAGTTCTTTCTGTCTCTAGAATTTACCTCTCTGGATGTTTCCTGTAAGTGGAATCGTACCTAACCCTTAGTTCTTTAAGACCAGCTTCTTACACTTAGCGTAGTGTTTTCAGGGTTCATCTGTAAAGTGTGTCAATACATCATTGCTTTCTATGGCTAAGAAACACCACATTTTGTTTCTTTATAAATTGAGTAGATGTGCTGTTTCTACTTTTTGTCTATTATAAATAATGCAGCTGATAATATCTGTTTATGAGGCTTTGTACCTTTGTATGCTTACATTTTTAAAAGTTTTATTTATTTTTATTTTATGTATATGAGTATTTTGTTTGCATACATGTATTATGCAATATGTAAGGGAGACCAGAAAAGGGTGTCATGTCCCCAGGAGTTGGTGTTAAAGATGGTTGTGCATGACCCTTTGTGGGTGCTATGAACCAAACTCCAGTTTTCTGGACATGCTCTTGACCACTGACCCATCTCTCCAGCCCTGAGATAGGTAGATTTTTATACATAGTGTGAGGTAGGGTTCCAAGTTCATTCTTTTGCATGCTTAGTTATTTTTCAACATCATTGGTCAAAAGTCCATTCTATTCCTCACCAAATTGTCTTGGTACCATACTGGAAAATCATTTGGGGTAGGGACACTTAAGTTCCTTCTTTCTCCCTTCCCTTGCTGCTACCTACCTCTCTAACTCTCTATCATTGTGTGTGAACCAGAGGTTAAGCTCAGCTGTTACTCTGGAGCCACCCAACAAACCATCCTGCTGGTCCCAACCTTTGTGTTTGTGCACTAGTGCATTTTTGGGTACATAGACATGTATGCACCATGGTGCCAGTGTGGAAGTCAGAGGACAATTATTGGGGGTTGGTTTTCTCTTGCCACCTTGTGGGACGCAGGGATTCAGTTCAGGTCCTTGGGCCCTGACACACATACCTCTATCCTCTGAGCCATCTCACCAGCCACTTGCAAACAAAACAACAGGATCACTAGCTGCCCTTGAGCTTAACAACTAGGCTAGACTGGCAGCCGGTGAGCCCATGAGATCTAACTACCTGTCTCTGCCTTCCCAGTGCCATGATTACAAGTGTATACTGTCTCTCATCTGGCTTAAAATTATTTTTATTATTTTTAATTATGTGTAGGTGTGCATGTGAGTCCAGGTACCTGGAGGTATAGCCTGTGGTGAGCTAGCTACCTGCCATGGATGCTGGGGACTGAATTCCCAAGAGCAAGAGCAGTACACACTCTTAACCACAGGGTCACCTCTCCAGCACACACCTGGCCTTTTTAAAAAGTGCATTTTTGAGGATCAGACTGTTCCTCGTGCTTTATTGTCTGAGCCTTCTCCACAGCCCAGAAGCTCAGTTTCTGAGGAGACCTTTCATCTCACAGTGCATTTTATAGTAGGAAATAGCAAGGCAGCTATCACACAGGCTTTTAAACTTTAATGAATGTGTGTTGTTTGCCTGGACAGGTGCGATGCCAGCATAGCCAGACTGTCTGCAGAACATAAGACGACCTACGAGGGCCTCCAGCACCTGAACAAGGAGCAGCAAGCAGCCAAGCTGATCCTGGAGACAAAAATCAAGGATGCAGAAGGACAGGTATGGCCCAGCAGATACCTTAGAAGAGGAGAGTTTGTTCTCAGCTAAGAACCAGGTGCTGCTTGGCTGTTGCAGAGCAGCCAGCCACACCACTGTGGGTTTATGCAAATCCTCAGTTCTTTCTGTCTTCCTTCCCTCTGACTTGCTGGAGTGGCCCCTCATGAATCTGGCAGCCAGATCATGGAGAGCTTCTGGTACAGTGCCAATTTAAAGATTCTTTCCTTTTATTCATAGAACAATTATAAATTATTTTACCTCCAAACTACCTCTCGAGCAGGTGAGTGACCCAGTATAGCTTTGCAAGCTGTTTCTCCCAGTGCCTGATTCAGGAAGTACGTTCTTTACTGACTGTGCTGAATTGTTTGTGCTGACTCTCACATGGTCTCTCTGTGGGACCCAATTAGGTCAAAGCTAGAGAGTAAGCTGGCAAAGGAATCTTAGGGTATTTTACTTTCAAATCCATAATATACTTCACGGAACAAAACTCTCAGCATTTCACCAGGTTGGTGTGTGTGTGTGTGTGTGTGTGTGTGTGTGTGTGTACATGAGTGCAGATGCTCCCAGAGGCCAGAGGACTTGGAGTCCCCCTGGAGCTGGGTTACAGGTGGCTATAACCCACATGACATGGGGCCTGGGGACTGAACTATGAGGGATATGTACTCTTAACTACTGAGCCATCTCTCCAGCTCCTACTTCATCAGATTTTTGTTGTTTGGCTGGTTTTTGTTACAAGCTTCCCTTTCATAACAGGGCTAGCCTCCTAGGACTTTCCCTCAGCATCTGGGTAATTTACTGAATAAAAAGTACTTACCCCTTAACTTCAACTATTTTCATCAAGGAACCAAAGCTACTTATGAAAAACAAAAACAAAAACAAAAGGCAGGTCTTTGGGTTTTTTTGTTTTGTTTTGTTTTTGTTTGTTTTAAGATGAGCCGAACTTGGTTTCACAGCACGGGTATATAATCCCAGACAGTCTAGAGGCCAAGGTAGGAGGATTGCACGTTCAAGTCTAGTATGGGCTAAAGAGTTAGGCCAACCTGAACAATTTAGATATCTCCAAATAAAAAGTAAAGACAGGTGGCTCAGTGGGTAGAGGTACTTGCCACCAAGTCTGATGACCAGAGTCCAAGCTCTGGAACCCACATAATGGAAGGACAGAACTGACTTCCACATGTTGTCCTCTGATCACCACACAGGAGCTATGGCGTGTACACATCTATATACATACACACAAAGGAAATAAATAAACATTAAGAACAAGTTTAAAGACAAGGCTAAGGCATAGCTCAGCACTGAGTGTTTATTAGCGTTTACAAAGCTTGAGATTCAGTTCCTAGTACTGGAGCGGGGCTGTGTGGGGTGCGTGGGGGTGGGTGGGTGAGATTATTACATAAGAAAATAGATGCTTCCTGGTAGCCAAGGTGAGCATCACACAGAGATCCCCCAAAAGAAGCATTGTTATTTTGTTGTTGTTATTGATTCAGATCTTACATGTATCATGAATCTTTAAGTAGGAATGTTGAACAACACTTAACTTTTTGGAAAATGTGATCATTTCATACAGGACTAGTTTACCATTAAATTGTGGTGAAAACAAAACCCAAATAAAGACAACGACCACAGATCAATAACGGAGAAAGGAGCAGAGGGATGTGGCCCACACAGGGTCTTCTCTGGGGCTTCACTTGACGAGGAGGTACATTTGGAACCTTGATGCAATTGTAATCCATAGAAATTCCACCCTCCATGACTGGCAGCCACAGTGCTGGTGGAATTCCAAGGAAGCGATGGCTGCACACCATGACAGCTGTGGAGGTGCCAGCTCTGGGCAGGAGTTGGGCTTGCTCATGAGAGAGCTGTGCAGTTTAGCACCCATTGCATGATGACTATTTTGGCAGTGCCCCCAACTTGATTTTTGCTGGGTGTGTAAAGAAGAAAACAAAGGTAGTGTCTAGGTAGATGGTGCCATAGTTAAAGTGCCCTAGGGAGACTGTATCAAAGTTAAAGTGCCCATGAACACAAGCAAAAGGACCTGAGTTTGGATTTGCAGCACCCACTTAGAGCTGCTCACTGTGGGGGCTGGAGAGATGGTTCCACAGTCAAAAGCACTTATTGTTCTTGTGGAGGACCTGAGTTCAGTTCCTAGTACCCATAGTAGCTCACAATTGTAACTCCAGTCCTAGGGAATCTTCTGAGCTCCTCAGGCACTAGGCATACATGTGGTGTACATACATTCAGGCAAACTCTCATACACATAAACTAATCTAGAAAAGTGTTTTTAAAAAGCTGGACACTGTAGTATACCCAGAACTGGGCAGTGGAGACAGGGTGATGTCTGGAACTTATTGGCCAGACATTCTAGTTAATAGGTGAGCTCCATGTTCAGTGAGAGACCCTGACTCAAAATATAAAGTGGAGAATGATTAAGATAACTCCTGTTGCCGGGCGTTGATGGCGCACGCCTTTAATCCCAGCACTCGGGAGGCGGAAGCAGGTGGATCTCTGTGAGTTCGAGACCAGGCTGGTCTACAAGAGCTAGTTCCAGGACAGCCTCCAAAGCCACAGGGAAACACTGTCTCAAAAAACCAAAAAAAAAAAGATAACTCCTGTTGACAACTGGCCTCCATATGTACACACACACACACACACACACACACACACACACACACACACACACACACACACGGAAAGAGGACACCAACTCCTAAATGGACTTAAAGTGACTCTTAATGTCACTGGCCAGCATAGAGCATATGACATGTCTTCTAGAATGCCCTCTGAAGACACGATGTGAGATCTTTATAATCCGATCTTCTTTTCCAGATTTCTCAGCTTTTGAGCAGAGTGGACCTGTCCATTTCAGAGCAGAGCACCAAGCTGAAGATGTCCCACAGAGACAGCAATCACCAGCTTCAGCTCCTGGACACCAAGTAAGTCATCATGAAATTCACATTTTCTCCCTCTTGCTTTTATTTTAAAATATAATGTTTAAATTTTGTCTGTCGTAAAGATTTATTTTTATTTATGTCTATGTGGAAATGCACATGAATGCTGTGCTGACAGGGACCAGAAGAGGGCATTGGAGCTGGAGTTGCAGGTGGTTGTGAGCAGCTGGATATGGGTGCTGGGAACTAAACTCCCACCCTCTGGAAGAACATCAAGCACTCTTAACTGCTGAGCCATCTCTCCTGCTCACCTCTTGATTTTTATTTATCACACAGAGTGAAAACAATAGATGAGGGTCAGCATTGGGCATCTTCTTCTATCTTGTTCCACCTTTTTTTTTTTTTTGAGGCAGAGTCTCTCACTGATTCTATCAGATTAACTGGCCAGTGAGACTCTTTTTCTATCTCCCCAGTGCTGGGGTTATGGATGCCATCATGTCTAGATTTTTCATGGATTCTGGGCATCCAAACTCTGGTCCTCATGTTTGTGCAGCAAGCACTTTACCCACCGAGTTGTCTTCCCTGCCCCTAGTATGTATTTGTCAAGCACTTGACTAGGGGCCATGGATCTAGTAATGAAGAAAAAAACAAAACAAAACAGACCTTGTTCTTTTCTTCTTTTTTTTGTTTTGTTTTTTTTTTTTGTTGTTGTTGTTTTGAGACAGGGTTTCTCTGTGGCTTTGGAGACTATCCTGAAACTAGCTCTTGTAGACCAGGCTGGTCTCGAACTCACAGAGATCCACCTGCCTCTGCCTCCTGAGTGCTGGGATTAAGGGCATGTGTCACCAATGCCCGGCCCAGACCTTGTTCTTAATCCTGTAGAGTCTACAGTTTAGGGAGCTGATGACCAGGTGTCAGATAAGGAGTTAATCAGGGTATGCGGTTATGTTAGGTTAACTAATGGTTCCCCCAAATTCTCTATGTGAACATTTGTTAATTTTTAGGGAAAGGAGCATGCAGGTGTGACTAAGTAGCTTCATCTGGGAATGTAGCTCAGGAGTAAAGTGCTTGTCTAGGATGAGTGAGGCTCCCAGTACTAGAAAAAAACATGCCTTTAAAAAAATCTCTGTGTGTGAGTGCATACCATGGTATAGGGGTGGAGGTTGGGCTCAACCTGGGGTGTTAGATCTCATCTCCACTTTGTTTGAGAGGGGGTCTGTGGTTGTTCACCACTGTGTACTCCAGGCTAGGTGGCCTGAGAGCTTCTTGGGTTTCCTGTCTCTGTTTCCCATCTTGCCATGGGGGTGCTGGAATTATAGACCACTTCTGGCTTTACATGGGTTCTGGGGATCAGAACTCAGGTCCTCATGCTTGCACAGCAAAGATTTTTACCCACCGAGCCCTCTCCCTAGCTCCCTAAAGAAAGTTTTAAAATGGATGGGTCATTCAAGCAAGCCTGACATCATCACTAGAGTCCCGAGAGGAAAGCACTGGTAAAGAATAGCAATCCTGGCCATGCTAACTTCTGGGAGAGTGTGACAGGCTGTAAACTTGGGTCTTCTAAGTCCTGATAGTGGCTAATGTCTCAGTCTGTTCGGATAGCGTGTATTAGTTCAGCTGCAGGATGGTTCAGTGTTCTGTGGTCAGTGTTCCAGGGCAGACAGGGCAGCTCTGACGACTCAGTGTGGCGCCCCAACAGCTCTGGCCCTTGCACTTCCCCGGCTGCCACAGAGGGAAAATCCAGGGCAACAGCTCCGTTTTGAAGAATGCAAATCAGAGCCATGCACTTTTTCTCTTTCCTGCACTGCCAGTCACTTGACTTACTGGTGCACTGCACTGTAACTATTACTTTTTTTCATTGCTGTGACCTACAAAAAGCAGCTGAGGAATGAAGATGACAGTTTGGCTCACAGTTTGAGGAGATACCATCCACCATGGTGATGAACATGTGGTAGCAAGAGCATGCGGTGGCTAGTCTCATTGTATCCATAGTCAGAGGCCAAAGAGATGGATGCTGGTGCTCAGTGTACTTTGTCTTTCCCCCCCCTTTTTATTAATCTGGGACCCCAGTCCATAGGATGGTGTTTTACACATTCAGAGTGGGTCTTCCCTCTTCTTTAAATCCCTCTAGAAATACCCTCACATACAAGGTATGTCTCCTACTTGATTCCAAATCAAGATGATACAGAAGATTAACAATCACATACACCTTGCTGCAAGGGAAGCTAGTAAATGTGATGGCTGGCTAGGGTCTTTAGCCACTATCAGGACTTAGAGGACCCATGTACTCCAGTGACAGGTGAAGACTCCTTATATAAGAAAACCAAAAATAGACATTTCAGAACAATTAGTGACTTTAGTGGGTGCTCTTGTTGTTATTTAAATACTATATCTACATCGATTATTCATCTACACATATCTTTATATATTCTATACTTTCATCATATGTTATAGTACAAATAAGGTAATTAAGGGAAGTAGCATGCATTGATCGTTATTTTAAAGATTGTGGGAAGGGCAGGCGCTAGAGGAATGGATTGTTGTAGAGGTGCTTTCCATTTTCTGTCTGATTTTTTGTCTGCTTGTTTTTGTTTGTTTTGAGACAAAGTCTCAAGTAGCCCACGCTGGCCTTGGATTCACTATGACCTTGATCCTCCTGGCTCTACCTCCCAAGTGCTGGGATTGCAGGCATGTTCCAATATGCCTAGTTTATTTCCTACCGGCATAAATCAGACTTTGTCCATATGGGGAAAGAGCAATAGGTAACATGAGAGAGAAAACAAGCTAGCCTTTAGTCCCGGGAGATACAAGGAAGGAAAGTACAGGTGAGGAGAGGATTCTGAAAGAGGAGATGAAGGATGGTGTGTCCTCTGAGCAAGGAGAACGTGGACCCTTAGAACTGCAAAGGTTAGTAGCCCCTGGCATCTCTATCACTGTGTCACCTCAGTGCCTATGCTGCCAGCTCCTATGGGTAGGAGCATCAGCAGATGCTTTTCTGTTGTATGTTTCTGTCCTCCACCGGCCTCATGTTGCATGTGGTCCTAGGACACCATTCTCATTGAACTGATATTGTTTAACATTACTTAAAACTGTCTTACATCCAACTTGCTTACGTGCCTGCTCTTTCCTTTCTTTTGTTATTATTTCAGATTTAAAGGTACAGTCGAGGAGCTCAGCAACCAGATTTTATCTGCGCGGAGTTGGCTGCAACAAGAACAAGAACGGATAGAGAAAGAACTTCTACAGAAAATCGATCATCTTTCCTTGATTGTTAAGGAAAACAGTGTAGGTGTTGACGTTTTTTCAGTAACAGATACTCAGTGGAGGCGTGCAGTGTCTCACTAGTACCTAAACACCTAGCACCAGTTAATTTGGCGCCACCCAAAGGTGTTCGGGCATTCCCACCTTTGTATAATTTCCACATTCCTTTCCTCCTCTCCCACTTCCCCTTTCTGTTTCTCTTCCTTCCTTTGTTCTGGGGATCAAACCCAGGTTCACATACCTGCTGTCTCAGTTTCTTTTCCTGTTGCTATGAGAAAGTAAATACTCTGACAAAAGCAACTTAAGGGAGAAGAAGTTTATTCTGGTCCACAGGTCAAGGTATACTTCATGATGGTGGTCAAGGCGGCAGGACGGGGGGCACAGATGGTCATGTTGCATCCATTACAGGAAGCAGAGAGGGGTGAAGACCGGCCGCTGCTCAGCTCTCTTCCCACTTACACAGTTTGGGGTCTCATCCAGGAAATGGTGCTTCCCACAGGGGTTGGGTCTTTCCACCTCAAGCAAATCAAAATAACGCCCCTCAGGTGTACCCAGAGGCCTGGTTCCCGGTTGGTTCTAGATTCTGTTAAATTAATAATTAACACTGACCATTATAAATGCTAATCTTGAACTTCATCACCCAGCCATGCCCCCATCATCCCCTGCCCTTCATAAAGACAGGGAGTGCTTTGATTTATGTTGGTTGACAAAGGGCAAACTGAACATTTCAGCTAATAAATGCAATTGTCTACCACATATTTCTAAATAAAGCTATCGGTTACCTACTTGATCCTGTTTTTATATTTGTTTTTAATGTTGCTATCTAATTTTTTTCTTTCACCAGTGTTGAGTGACTCTCTGTCCCTCCAGGCCCCTCCAACACACTGTAACAACAGTGTGCCTTCACTCTCCCAGGGCGACAGGTCACACTCCACCATTTTCTCAACCGCTTCTGCTTCCATCCCCTCTCTCAAAGAGCTAAGGTTTGCAGAACTGCTAAAAAATATCTTCAAAAAGTCTTGCATTTATCGTATTTAAAAGCATTGGGTTTGGAAACCGGTGACAGACAGGCAAATTGTGCTGGGTTCTCTTTTCTTGCCTGGCTTCCTCCCGTGGGGTTTTGACTGAGCAGAAGTGGCTGGTGTGGTTTGCAGGTCCATCCGACTGCTTGCTCCAGGTGTTGAGCCGTTCCTTGAATTGTAGGCTCTGTGTCAATGCCAGCACAGGAGCGTTGTCATGTCACACCTGGTGAGGGCTTGGTGTTCATAGTTTGACCAGTAAAGCACCTGGATGCAGAGTTTCACAAAACACAGGTATAGTGAACTGCAAGGACAAGGAAATACTCAGTATTTCAGATCTTTCCCTTTGACTCTTCCCCTACTTTTCTTGGATCTACTCATGGTTGTGCCTTGGCACATCCTGACCCACTTGTGAAGTTCTGAGTCTGTGGTTTACTGTTTGATTTTCGCATGGGCTTAAGCCAACAGTAAGCTCCATGATCACAGTGGATTCACTAAGATGGAAGCTTGCTTGTCTCTCATGTGAACAAATACAGGTGGGCGTCTTTCAGGATAATCGTGAGGTGAGGGCTTACCAGTCTTCAGGGAGCCAGATCCCTTTTATGTTAGCTTTCTGCCAGCCTCGGAGAGCAGCCCTTGTCCCCAGGATTCAGGATGGCTGAAAGATCTCCAGCCATTGACCGAATGGTAGAAACAGGAGGGAAAGGGGGGAGAGGTAAGGATATACAGCAAGTGTATTTTCCCTTTTTCTGGAAGCAGTTACATGCACTTGTTCTTACACCTCATTGGCTAGATCCCATGGCCACACCAAACGCAGGAGACAGAAGGAAATGTAGACTTCCACTCTGAGTGACCTTTGAGAATGGACCCAGGAGGGACAACAAGAAGCCATTATGGTTCTGGTCCCTGCAGATGTTAAGTGCTATATGGTCGATGTGAGACAAGGCCTATGCTCTTCTTTTGCAATAACCAAGTGTAATTCTTATCACGGTCCCCAGGGAGCCAGTGAAAGAGACATGGAGAAGAAGCTCAGCCAGATGTCGGCCAGACTTGACAAAATTGAGGAGAGCCAGAAGAAGAATGTGGAAGGACAGAGAGGGAAGCCGGAAGAGGAGAAGGTGCATGGGCGGATCAGCAAACTGGAGTTACAGATGAGCGAGGACATGAAGGAGATGAAAGCGGAGGTTAATGCTGGTAGGTCAAAACCCCGAAGCTTGTGAGGCTTATTTGTCTAAAAAGCCATTCATTGAGATTTCCCCTGAAACCGAGACTGAGCTTGCTAGGAAAACAAAAAACAAAAAACAAAAAACATCGAAATGTCTTTAGTTGCTTTTCTAAGTATCTGGGCAGTATTGAACAAAGATGCTAGCTAATTTATTTATTTATTTATTATATGGTGCAACTTGCTAGGCAAGCTCTCTGCCAGTGAGCTATACTCCCAGACCTAAAGTACTAGTTCAATTGCAGGTCTATGAAACATCTCCATGAGACAGACAAACAAAATGTTTAACCCTGCTAATGATGGACATTTTCTTTAGTGCCACCTACTGATTCCTTTCTGTGTATGGCCAAGATTGATGGATCTCTGAGGCACTTTTGACGGCTACTTCTGCACTGCTGGCCACATGCATGTGGTCCACGGGTGTGGAGTCAGCTGTCTCCCACCTTTTAAACCCTTTTCCTAATCAAAATCTCATTTAAAAGATTCTGTGTGTGTGTGTGTCTGTGTCCGTCTATCTGTCTGTCTGTCTGTCTGTCTGTCTGTCTGTCTCCCTCTGTGTGTGTGTGTGTGTGTGTGTGTTTGTGTGTTTGTGTGTGTGTATACACTCATGGAGGCCAGCAGGGGCATGTTAGATCTCTGGGAACAGGAGCAATAGGTGTTTGTGAGCTACCTGATGTGGGTGTGGGGATCTGAACTCCAGTCCTCTGATAGAGCGGTACAGTGTTCTTAAACTCTGTTCTAGCTAGGGGTCCTGTTGCTGTGATAAAACATCATGACTGTTATAATTAAAAAACAAAAAGCAGCACAAGAGAGAAAGATACCATTCAACAGAGCTCATGTGGAGAGTTTTTTGTTTGTTTGTTTTTATTAAGGAAAATGGAATGGGACAAGGGGGAGGGGAGGTGGGAGAATAGTCTCTGGGGGACAGGAGCAGCAGAAAAAAGGCAGAAAGGCACGTCGAGGGAGGGGGGAGACACAGAGAAAGAGGAGAGAGAGAGAGAGAGAGAGAGAGAGAAAGAGAGAGAGAGAGAGAGAGAGAGAGAGAGAGAGATGGGAGGTCGGTAGGGCCCTTTCAAAAGGGAACATAGTGAATGTGCACAGGTGGTGCTCTTAGTGGCTGCAGCTGAGGACCTATCCCGTCAGAGCCCCAAGGGCAGGCCAATACAGATGCGTGAATACTAACAATTACCAAAGCAACTTGGGGAGAAAAGGGTTTATTTGGCTTACACTTCCATATCACTGTTCATCATTGAATGAAGAGTCAGGACAGGAACCGAAGCAGGGACCCGAGGCAAGAATTGATGCAGAGGCCACGGAGGAGTGCTGCTTACTGGCTTTTCTGCTTTCTTATAGAATCCAGAACCACCAGCCCAGGGGTGACAACCTATAATGGATTGGGCCCTTCCCCACCAGTCACTAATTAAGGAAACGCCTACAGCCCAGTCTTATGGAAGCATTTTCTCAATTGAGGATCCCTCCTCTCTGATGATTGTAGCTTGTGTCAAGTTGATATAAAACTAACCAGGGCAACCACTGATACATCTCTTCAGCCCTCAAACATTTTTTAGATTAAAAAAATGTTTATTTGTATATTTAAAGCTTGTGTTTTGATGTATGTAACAAACTGGTGACTTCACATAAATTAACCTACCTATCATCTCACATGGAGGTGGTATATATGTGTTTGTGTCTGTTATATATGCTATATATGTGTGTATATGTATGTGTATATATGTGTATGTATATTGTATATGTGTATGTATGTATAGATTATGGTGTGTATGTATGTGTGTATATATATGTGTGTATGTATTCATGTGTACCTTGAGTCAACTCTTTCAGCAAAAACCCTAAAGACAATATATTGAATTTTCCTCAAGATGTGTATTAGATCTCTATCGGGACTTGTTCATTCTATGTATTGTGCTGTTTTTACCCTTTGACCCGAGCCTCCTTACTCCCTATCTGCCCACATCATGTCCCTTGTATCTGCCATTTTATTGTTTTTATTTAATTTCTTTTCCCTTTGAATCGTCATATGAAACCATGAAGCATTTCTTTGTGTGTGTGTCTCCCTTCATTCAGCATAGTGTTCACAGTCTCAGCTGTGTTGTGGCAAACAGTGAGGCCTGCCCTTTTGTAAGGCTGGATAATTTTGATGGCATATACACATACTGCATCATCTTTGTTCACCTCTCTTGACAGACACTTTAGGTTGCTTCCGTGCCTCAGTTATAGGGAATAATGTTGCAATAAACGTCAGCATGCCAGGGCTGAAGAGATGGCTCAGCAGTTGCATAGTGAGGCCCCGTCCCCCCCCCAAAAAAAATAAAACAATAAAAAATTTTTAAAAAAGGCAGGCAGTCTGGCTGTGGTAGCATAGGCCTTTCATCGCAGCACAGAGGCAGGGATGTGAGTTTGAGGCCAGCTCAAACTACAAAGAGAGTTCCTGGGCAGTCTTGAAACACCTCTTCCCCCCCAAAAAAAAAGAAAAGAGGGGGGAAAATGGTGGGGACACACACCAGAGTGAGGATCTCGTTATGAGGTGCTTGTTTCCTTCTCTGCGCGTGTCCGGTAGTGGCATTGCTGGGCTGTAGGATAGCTCTGCTTTTAATGTCTGTAGAGGCCTTGCTGCTGTTTTCCACTTTAGCTGCAACTTTTTTAAATGCATGTTTTTATGTTGCCTTGGCTGGTCTGGAACTCACTGTGTAGACCAGGCTGGCCCAGAATTCTGCCTCCCAGGTGCTGGGATTAAGGGCATAGACCACCACACTGGGCCTTTGCTACATTGTGTTTAATTCCCACAGCCATCTTTGGGATTCTGCTGTCCACATCCTCAGTGCTGGTTAGTCTGCTCTTGCTCATGGCCTTCCTAAAAAGTGTTAGCGACATTTCAGCAACTGTAGCTGTGCTTCCTGATGAGTGATGCTGAACACCCTCTCTTATACATCTTCCTTCGTTCCTTCGTTCCTTCGTCCCTCCCTCCCTCCCTCCCTCTCTTCCTTTTTCTTGATGAGGTCTTTGATCCAGGCTGGCCTCAAACTATCTAGGTAGTGAGGATGACCTTGAACTTATGATCCTTCTGCCCCTAACCTCTGAGTGCTTATATCACAAGTGTACGATACCAAGCCCAGCTTAATGGGTGCTTTACTAGGATGGAACCCAGGACTTTGTGCATGCTAGGTGAGCACTGTAGCCAGTTCTTTACCTCATTACAATTCAAATCTAGGATCACACACAGTTGTTGGCACTTATGCTCATTTACTTAGTCTTGTGTATCTGGATCAATTCCTCTGTGATGCAGTTTTGTTTCTGAGATGGAGTCTAGCCAATCGGTAGTGGCACATGCCTTTAATCCCAGCAGAGGCAGGCAGATCTCTGAGTTTGAGGGCAGCTTGGTCTACGAAGAGCAAGTTCCAGCACAACAAAGGCTGTTACATAGGCTGGGGGGGAGGGCAGGGATGGAGGGGGAGAAAAGGAGTCTAGCTGTGTAGAATAGGCTGGCCTCAAACTCATAGTCTTATCTTAGTCTTCCAAGTACTGAAATGCAGGCATATGCCACCATGCCTGGCTGAGCCCAGTGGATGCCCTCTGCTCTGGCCATCTGATCACAGGTTTAAGCTGTGATTTCTCTCAGGGATAGTGGTGTGAGCTTTGATCACGTGGTGAAAGTAGCATCTGCCATATTTCTTAACTGCAATAGTCCCCCTTTGTAATTAAAAAGCAGTTTTCATGGAGATCCCCATCCAGGGTTGACCCCTAGAGTCTCAGCATTGTCAGAACCAGCCATTACTGGTTGTAGATGGTTAACCCCTGTGATGTTTGCCTCTTCCTCAAGGGTTTACAGCCATCTACGAAAGCATAGGATCCCTCAGGCAAGTGCTGGAAGCCAAGATGAAGCTGGACAGGGACCAGCTACAGAAGCAGATCCAGCAGATGCAGAAGCCAGAAACTTCCATGTGAAGAGGGTTGGGACAAGGACCTGACAGGAGATTGCCTGTGGGGCTAAGAGCCAGACACCTCTGCAGCCAGACCATGGCTGCATTCTGGATCCCATCAAGGGTGTGCATGTGCCAAGAAACGTGTTCTCATGGGTCTAACCGTTTACCTTCGGTATTGAAAACACCCTTTATTTAAAAATCTTAAATACAATTTTTACAACTTTACTTCCCTATCTAAGTGCAGTTGAGCCCTATGCCCTCAGATTTTGAAAGGCTTTTATGAATGAAAAGAATTTATTTTCAATGCTTGATGCTCTAGCCAAGACTACTATTTTGGAAAAAAAAAAACTGCCATGGTAATTTTTTTTTAATTAAGAAATGAGTGAATTGCTACAAGTATATGATGCTCCTCACCCTACATTAAGAGTGTGTCCTGGTAGATTAGATTTCAGCTTTAAGTCCACATCTGGATTGTATTACTGTTGTCTATGCATTTTTTTTAAACGTCGGGTTATTTTCTTGTAAATCACCTGTCTTTTGTAGAGAGGAGAGATTTAACACTGGGGGAAGAAAACCTTGACATTTATATAATGAAAATAGTTTTTTAAAAAGTTGATAACTGCCATATAGATTACAAATTAAGTGGAAACTGACAACATTTATCTAGATCCCACAAGGCACAATATTTATATCCACCTAGAGGTATCAGCCTTTAATATTTAAAGCTATTTTTGGAACCATTCACAGCTGGTGTAGCCAATAGCCATATATTTAATAATGGGGTGGTGGCTAAGCAGTCTGTTTATCGAACAGTTAATTGTTCCTCAACTGTAATGAACATGAGAATTTTTCAGACTTTACGATTTCCCTAAATGTTCCCCAAGTAGATACTAAGTGGTAGGGTTTATAGACATTTGCTGTAACTGTATATTTGTGCCTTGGTTTTTATCACATCACTGTACTGTCCCATGTTAAAAAAAAAAAAAAAAACTAGCAAAACAAAGTGTGGTAAACACTTCAGGGTTGTGATGTAAAACTGGGATTCTATGTATATTTTTTTAAATGTCCTAACAGTTTTATCACCATGACCATGACAGACTGCAATTAGCATCATTTACACACACTTTTGTATGGACAGAGAGTCAAACTGATGCTAACTTTATCATACCGTGAAGAGACATGTCCTGGCACATTGGTAGGTGTTTGAGTTGTTATAGACTTGAGCCTGTGCTGTTTGCTCGCCTGTGAGTCTGTCATAGCTGACAGAAGACACCCGTGTGAAAGTGTGAGGGCACCCCAGGAGAGAACGGGAGCACTTAGAAGTTCCCCGAACACCACCTTGTCTTTTCCTTTCCTCTCTCATTTGCAAGGACTCAGGAAAATAAAAATGGTTTTCTACTTCTAGAATAAATCACAACAAGATTCTAACTGGCTCTTACTGTTGACCCGTGTAAGGTATGCTGCTAAAGTACCTAATATTTCACTCTTGGTAGCTTGACAGTGTTTGTTTTCATTTGGACTCATGAGAGGCCATGTGAGGAATATGTATCCATCATGCATTTCTTCTTTTCCCCGTAAATATTTTCATCTCTAGATAAGAAGATCTTTCTGCCTAGAAGTCCCTGGTGTTCAGAAAGTGCTTTTTTTTCCTTTGTGCTAGGTTAGCCCTGTTTCATGGAGAGATTAAGCACAAGTCTCAGGACAGGGCCACGCCCCCTTAGCGTCTCTCTCCTTTGGGGGCTCTAAGGGAGAAAGAAGAGCACAGATGACACCTGGGAAGAGGGGGGCAGGTGACACCAGCTGACTCTGGCCAAGCAGGTGGTGTAAGCAGGTGACGCAACTGCTGGTGGAATCGCCTAGGTGCTCAAGATGTTTCCTGTGTGTGACAAGGAACTGGGGCGGGGACTCTACACCCTAGTTGATTGGGGTCACTTGGGGGAGTTTAAAGAGCTACTGATGCTGAACAACCTCCAGACCAATTAAGTCAGCATCTGGGAGGCAGCCACCAGCATCAGTATGTGTCACCCCCCAACCCCGCCCCTCCCCCCGTTTTTGGGTGTGCAGCTGGGAGGCCAGCCATCCAGCGAAGACAATGGAGCAATCTTCTTGCCAAAGTTTAAAGGAGAATCAGCTATCCTGTCTTTTCCTTTACCAGAGATTTGCAATAAAAAGAATAAAATTTCCAAATATGTGTGGCATGGGACTTTTAAATGGGAAGAGTTTTTTAGTGTGGGGTGAAAACTTTGGCAGGCCAACTGCCTTAGGAAAGGTACCACTTTGCTTTCTTGAGAAATCTGATGCAGGCACGAGTGTGTGCACGTGTGTGTGTGTGTGTGTGTGTGTGTGTGTGTGTGTGCATGAGCCTTGGCTCAAGACGTCAGAAGAGGGCGTCGGGACCTTTGGAACTGAAATTACAGATGGCTGTGAGCCACCCACCATGGGTGCTGGGGACTAAATCATGTTCTCTGATCTTAGCTGCTATACCATCTCTTGAGCTCCTGTGTGTGCTCACTCATTTTGTTTAACGGTATCTAGTTAAGTACCATTCTACAGAGAAAACGGAGTCACAGAAAAATGAATCAGCATGCCTCAGATCCCACAGCTCATAAATAGGAGCCCTGGTTCTGGTAGGTACCTGGATTACACATCCTGGCTTTCCTATGACAAGCCACCACCATGGCCTGGCTGACCATTCTTTCTCATTACCTTTGTTTGAACTCACTCTATAGCTGAGAATGACCTTGAACTTCTGATCCTCCTGCTGCCACCTCTCAAGGGCTGGAATTAGAGGGTGGAGCCACCGTGCCCACACTTACCTTATTTTTTAATTATATTTTTTACTTATTTGTGTGGGTATATACAAGTACATGTGTGTATTTGTGTGGGGGTGTCACGGTGCATGTGTAGGGGTCATTGAAAAACCTGTGGGAGTCAGCTCTCTCCTTTCACTAAATGTGCTTTGTATAAACTGATGACATGACCATCTATGGTGTGATTAAGGGGAATGTTTTCATTATAGATATGAGAGGCATCTGGAAAAGTCTAGAGCAGAGAAGAAAGAAGTAGAATGAACATGGCCAACAGACTGGACCCGGCCAGGGCTAACTGTGAGAGAGAGAAGAATAGTAAGGGATAGAGAGTAGAGAAAACACAGAGAAGCAGAGAGAGACAGAGCATAGTGAGAATAGCAGGGTTATAAGGAGAATGAGTAGTTGGAGGGAGGGAGGCTGGTGAGTCAGAGCACTTGACAAGAGCAAGGATGTCACCATGAACTTTGAAAGGTATAACAGATACTTAGGATACTGAAGGAGCCTGGAAGCCAGCTACTGAGCACCATGGGTAGTAGCCATAAGTCTCATGCCAGAGATAAGGAAATGACTCCTTTTGGTAGAGGAACAGGCTTCACAAGTTCCTGAGGAATGCTCACCTTTGACTGCCAGAAATCCTCCTATAGTTCAGGTGAGCTCATTTCTGCATTTTGGAATTTGGGATTTGAGTTTCCTTTGGATCTGACAGGCTGGAGAGCTCAAACCCAGGTCAGGGGGTTTTGCTGTAAAGCCTTTACCTGACAAGTCATCTCACTGGCCTTGAATTCACTAACTTCTGTATATCAATAATTAACCCATTAAAAAAAGGAATCAGGCTGGGTGGTGGTGGCACATGCTTTTAATCCCAGCACTTGGGAGGCAGAGGTTCAAGGCCAGCCTGGTCTAAGAGTGAGTTCCAGGACAGCTAGAGCTACACAGAGAAACTCTGTCTAGAAAAAAAAAAACAAAAACAAAAGTCAGGAAGACATTCTCATTCATAACAACCCCAAAATAATAGCAATAGCAAACCAAGCCAAAATCTAGGAATAAACCTACCCAAGATGTTAAAGACCTCGACACTAAAACTATAGAACGCTGAAAAGAAAAGAAAAAAAAAACTACTAGAAGGTATAAAGACTGCTCTTGTTCACGGATTGGCAGAATTAAGATTGTGAATGAAGTCATATTACAAAACAACTTATTGATACAATGCAATTCCCATCAAAATTCTCTTGTCATTCTTCACAGAAATAGAAAAATGATTATAAAATCCATGTGGAAGCACAAATGATCCTGAACTGCAAAGGCAACCTTGAACGGAAAGAGCAATGCTGTGATAAAACACCATGACCATAAACAATGTAAGCAGGCAAGGGTTTATTTCAGCTGTAACTCTCAGGTCATTCATGCTCTACTGCTAAGGGAAATCAAGACAGGAACTGAAGCAGAGACCACCAAGTGCTGCTTACTGGCTTGCTTCCTGTAGTTGGCTCAGTCTGCTGTCTTACACACCCCAGGACTGCTGCTGAGGGGTGGTACCATCCACAGTGAGCTGGACCCTCCCACATCCATCGTTAATGAAGAAAATGCTGCAAAGACTTGTTCACAGGTCAATCTGATGGAGGCAATTCTTCAATTGAAGTCCTCACTTCCCAGATGACTCTGGCTTGTGTCAAGTTGGTGATTGCTACTAAGTCTGATGACCTGGGACCCACGTACTGAAAAGGACAACCTCCTATAAGTTGTCCTCTGACCTCCACACTACTGCACTTGCATGAGTGGGGGCCAACAAGTGAAAACATCTTTTAAAAGGCCAGATGCACACTTTTAATCCCAGAACTCAGAAGGCAGAGAAGGGTGGATCTCTGAGTTTGAGGCCAGCCAGGACTACATAGCAAATTCCAGGCCAGGTGGGAGTTAAGTGGTGAGATCTTGTCTGAAAATAATAAATAAATAAATAGATAAATAAACAAATAACTGACATATGATATTGTGTCAAGCTAAAAAGCCACACATCAAAGGAATCAATTATAGGAGAAAGGAACCTGAAGAATAAGAAAAAAATTTCGGTCAACTATTCATCTGATAGGAAATTAATATTTAGAATATAAAGAACTAAAAAATTTAAATGCCTAAAGAACAAATAACCCAATCAATCAAAAAATTCAATAGAATTTTCAAAAGAAGTACAAATAAATGGTTGATAAAGTCATGAAAGATGTACATAGCCACAATTAGCCACCAGAGAAATGCAAATCAAAAGTACGTTGAGATTCCATATCACCCCAATTAGAATAGCCATTCTTAAGAAAACAGACAGGGTGGGAGACAATGGCTCAGGGGTGAAGAGTACTTAACTGCTCT